TGTGTGCATGTGTGCTGTGTGTACTATGAGTGTGTGTGTGTGCCATGTGAGGTGTGTGCTGTGTGTACCATGACCGTGTGTGTGCCATGTGTGCATGTGTGTGGTGCTGTGTGTGTGCCGTGTGAGTGTGCATGTGCTGTGAGTGTGGTGGGTGTGAGCAGTGGTGGTGAACTGGGAGGCAGCTGCTGATGACCTGCCAGCAGGATGAGGGCAGCCGCACCGGGGGAGATTATCCTGGAAAAAAATCTCCTAAAATATCAGAAAACTCTGTTAGTTATCAATATGCTGAAACAAGCCCTGAATGCACTCAAGGCCACAAGACGGGTTTCCCATGGGGTGGGCTGCTCGGGGTCCTGCTGGGAGAGAGAAGAACCAACCCCTGAAAACAGTGACTTTGGGGGCATGGAGAGGACAAAGCAGTCGCTCACTGACCGGCATCGCCCTTGAATCCAGGGAACTGGCACGGTGCCCAGGCACACTCTTTACCATCCACACTCAGGGCCAAGGGATTCTCACCTTCCCAACCCCAACACCCAGAGGGCTGCACCTGCCAAAGTACTGAGTCCAGTGGCAGGAAAATGTTGCATTGCAATGGAGAGCCGAGAGGTCCAGCTTGCAGGTTTCAGGTGAATTGGAAATTACCCGGCAAGGGAAGCTCATGATTATAGATTAACTTTAAAGAACGTGTGGCAGAATTTAAGGGAAAATAACATATGACACATTAGCAAAGACAGGTGGAGCCAGAAGGGTTCTGAGACTCAAGAGCAAGACTGCTCTCCCCAGTTGAGGGGACACATCGGGGCATACAAGAGTCTTAGAAAGAAGAGGGGCTGCAGTGACCAGGGGTGACGGGCGCAGTGTGGTCAGGACTGAGACCCAAACTCGCTTAAATGTCCTAACTGTAAGAGGTCAAAAACAGCAGAGCTTACCTGGGGGGAGGTACTGGCAGTGCCCAGAAGAATTCACCAAAACGTTGGTGTGGAACGTGGCATCAAATCGCTCGTCAGCACTAGAACAGGAAAGGGTCTCGTGAGCCAGCGCCACCAGGCTGCGTGTTTCCCAGTGCCCCTGGGGCTGCCTGCACTCCGGGTCTGCAAGCACCACCGTGGGTCTCCCAAGTGCTCTTTTCTTTTCTAAGATGAAACCTGAAGACAACTTCGGAGAACATGGGCAGCCTGGGTGGCGCGGAGTGGGTGGCAGTGGCCGCCTCCCCGCGAGCCCCAGCCAGGGCCTCTGACCTGCTGCACTCAGAGCCGCTGGTTCCAGACTTGCGAGTGGGGCTCAGGCTTCGCTGGCGCTTATCACGCACATCTGAATGACTGCAACTGTGCGTGCAGGGTACCGAAGGGAGCTGGGGCCACAATTAGTGATGACAAAAACTACGTGGCAGAAGGCAGCAGAATTAAGTGTAAGTTTTAGATAAAGGCACCTCATCCCCACCCCTGCCCATGTTCAAATGTCTTGCAGCCAGGAGTTAATAACTTGGATTAAGGGGACACACACCCCTGCACCCACAGAGAAACATCTGGGGTCTTGCTGTCCTGGGGCAGGAAGAGGGGGCCTCTTGACCATGAGCTCTACTTTCAAATACAAATCAATCAATCCAGCACTCACTCCCCAGACATCTCCTTTTCAGGATGTCATACCTGGGGTCACCATCTCCCTGCCCTCATCACCTCAGGATGGGGTACCCCCAACTAGGGATGTCACCATGACCCAGAACCTGTATAAGGCATTCAAACTGGGCAGTCCTAGGCCTCAGCCTGCTTACTCTGCTATTCCCATCCCTCCCTGCAGACACAGCCACCAAGTCTCTTGCCCAGGTTTTCCCTACTCCCTCTGCCACCTGATGGGCCCTGCTGTCCCCCATTGTGGCCCTACATGGTATGCCAAGCCTCCTGCTTAGAAGGGAGGATGAGTAAAACCCCCCTTCGTGACAGTCATTTCTGTGTCCTTGTGTCTTCCCATACCTGATGCAAACAAATCCCCAGTACCAATAAAACACCGCCGGGCATGTAAATAAAAATAAACCACCTCCAGAAAATACAAGCAGCCAGTCTGGCACCCTGACTGGTACCACAGGATAAAGTTCCTCTCATTTTGGCAACCCAGGGATACCCACAACTTCTGAGTCTCTGTTGGCCCTTCTGTGCCTGAGGCCTTCCCAGTGGAAAACTCAGGATCAGTTGGAGACAGTCTCCAGCATGAAACACACAAGCAAGAATGGGAACCCCCAAAAGATCCAGAAAGAGCCAATGAAAACACTGAAAAATTCCTTCCTTTAGAAGCAGTATCCTGGCCGGGCGTGGTTGGTTTACACCTGTAATCTTAGCACTCTGGGAGGCTGAGGCAGATGGATTGCCTGAGCTCAGGAGTTTGAGACCAGCCTGAGTTAAGAGTGAGACTCCCATCTCTACCAAAAATAGAAAACTGGGCATGGTGGCAGGTGCCTGTAGTCCCAGCAATATGGGAGGCTGAGGCAAGAGTTTGAGGTTGCTGTGAACTATGATGCCACAGCACTCTACCCAGAGTGACAGAGAAGGAATATCCTCCAAAAAATCCAAGATAACATTGCTGTCAAAAACACAGAGAACTAAATGGAAATTAAAGATAGGACTTATGAAATAACTTGTTATAAATGGGCAGGAGTTTGGGCTGATAGAAATCACAGAAATAAAACGTAGGGCAGAACAGAGGGGGTGCTTGGAAGACAAGGCCGGAGGACTCACTTCACTAAACAAAGCTCCATCAGGAGCCAACAGGGAAGGCATAGTGGGAGAAAATTATCAAAGAAATAACATGAAGACACTTCCTTGAGCAGAAAGAAACCACCCAAGCATGAAGGCAAATTAAAAAAAAAAAAAAAAGCCATTTTCAAGAATGTTAAAGGCCTCAGAGAGCCGGTTGCCCATATATATTTTATTGGTCAGCTTTATAACAATGAAGATGGAAACCAAGATAGAAACTTTCAGACTAAACATGGAGATAAAGAAAAGGGATTTCTACAGTGAGCTGGCAGCAGAACTAAAAAACGGTGGGTCCAAACCAGAGCAAGACGTGCATTTCCTGAGGACAGAGGGACTGGATGGAGAGAGAGGAGAGCAATCTGGGAAACATCATGGCTCTGATTAAGGACACATTTTATTATTATTATTCTTATTTTTTTTTTTTGCAGTTTTTGGCCAGGGCCGGGTTTGAACCCTCCACCTCTGGTAGATGGGGCCGGTGCCCTACTCCTTTGAGCTACAGGTGCCACCCAATTAAGAACATATTTAAAAAATTTTTGCAGTAAGAAAAAAGGCAACCAGGCCAGGCACAGTGACTAATGCTTGTAATTCTAGCACGTCAGGAGCTGAGGAGGGAGGTTACTTGAGCTCCCTAAAACCAGCCTAAACAAGAGACCTCCTCTTCTACTAAAAATAGAAAAATCAGCTGAGTGGTGGCTTATACCTGTAATCCTAGAACTCTGGAAGGCCAAGGCAGGAGGGTCCCTTGAGCTCTGGTACTGTAGACCGGGCTGGGCACCAGGGAGACCTGCCTCTACAAAAACATGGAAAAATTAGCTAGGTGTCGTGGTAGCTACCTGTAGTCTCAGCTACTCAGGAGGTTGAGACAGGAGGATCACTTAACCCCAGAAGAGTTTGAGGTTGCTGGGACAACAGGCAACAGAGTGGTGAGACTCTGTCTCAAAAAAAAAAAAAAAAATTAGCTCTAGTGTGGTGGCCAGTGGCTGTAGTCCCATCTACTCAGGAGTCTGAGGCAGGAGAACTGCTTGAGCCTGGGAGCTGAAGGCTCAAGTGAGCTATGATGATGCCACTCCAGTGTGGGTGGCAGAGCGAGACTCTCTGCCTAAAAAAAAAAAGCAACCAAAAACTCCATGAAACAAACTCTACAAGGAAGTCATGATTTGAATATGAAACAAACAAAAATACGCTGAAGTTGAAAGAAGGAAGGGAGGAAGGCTAAGTTGTTAAACTGTTATAAAAAGACAGGCCTTTGAGATGAAAAAGAACACATTCACCCCTCACTTCCAAACACACTCAGGGAGGGAGGGAGAGAGGAGGAGGCAGGACCAAGAGCAAGTAGTCTGTGCTCGACTGCAGTCTATCCAACTGTATGAATGAGTCACTTTATAAACGGTGACTAGGCCCCAAACAGCTGAAACTGTGGCCTTCACAGACTCACTCTGGGTAGTGGCATGATTTTCAAGCCAGGTTCCCTGGAGCCCTGAGATTCTGTGGGGGTGCCATAAGGTTTCTGCTCATGTTTCATTCTGATCACTTCCTTTCTTTTCCCTGGATTTTGAAAGTAGTAATGAAAGTCAACACAGACGTCAAATTACTGTTAAAATTTTAACTCTTCCAAGACTACCAAGGTATACATTTATATGGCCCATTTAACATGCTTTTGGGTAGAAGTTAAACTAAAAAGTCTCTGGCCAAGAATGTGTACGCATTTGATTCTCTTGTAAAAAGAGTCACCAATTGGGCCTTTGGCTGTGTGTTGCTCTTTTAACAAATTCAAGTTTGTCCCTAAAATCAGACCGTGGAGAACCTGTCCCCGACAGGTCACATGTTCTCCCCAGGGGCATTCTCAGTGGCAGCATCGCAAAGTGCAGTGTGATGCACAGTTCAGGGTATAGAGTATTGCTTATTTTAAGCTCAGGTTTCTTCCTGTCTTATTTTTATATTTCTATAAAGACTGTGAGCATCTGTTAGATCCGTGATTCAACTCTGGAAAAAAATTAAAAAACACTAAAACTCCAGTTCCTACAAGATTTTCCCTCAAACATTTGGATCAATTTAATTGAAGAGACTCTTGAGATCACAAGGCAAATTGGTAAGAAACAAGATTAAAAACCGTTGCCATTAGCAACGGTTTACCTGTGTGACTTAGTGATTTCTGATTATCGTTCATCTAAACAGAATATGGGGATACGTGGAATTGTAACACGGTAATTGCTATCAAAACCCAAATCTTAATGGTTTTTCCCATAGGCACATTCATTTTATAAGTGAATAATATAGAAGTAGACTCTTCAATAGATTTGTACTCATAACCGGTATTAAGGCTGGGGATAAGATGTGTTTGAAAAAGGGCCCTCCTGCTAACAACTGAGTTTGAAAACAGCTCTCCAAGGCAGGAAGTGAGGCACCTCTGGAACATGAGTGGCCAAAACCACTGCAAGGACCTCGATGACCACCACACTAGCACAAATTACCACGTGGACCGGCCCCATGCACACAGGTTGCCTGACAGATGCCAGCCAACAACGGCCACAGGCCATGGTTAATGCAGCCTCCCAGAAGCCAGATGCCCGTAACTGCAGAAAGGGGGATGAGGACAGGGGGACTCATCTCACATCTCAATCTGTGTTTGTGTATATTTGAATTACTTTTTGTATTGAACAATTTGAAAATGGTCAAATATATATGTTTTATTGACTAGTGGAAGGTACAGTACATCCACAGAGTTCTTAAGGTTGCTACCCCAAGGCCGTAAGATCCTGCAGGTGCTGCCTTTGTCCCTCCACAGACAGAGATGTGGTGAGCTCACTCCTTTCTATTTTTCTTTTTTTTTTCCCACCACAAAGGGGAAGACTGAGGGAAATCAAACTAAAATATTCAGGACGTGAATTCCATGTCCTGGAGGGATGGTCACGAGGAGAAGCATCTGGTCAGGCTCTAAACAGGGGCAGAGCTCCTGCAGGTGGAAATGAATGTGGACATGCACCCCTGGCTGAAGGCACAGTCAGGTCACACATCTAGAGAAAAACCAGAATGGGAAAGGTTTCGGGAAGGTCTGATGGGCCTGGACCATGGGATGAGTGAGATGTTGTCCTCCCTAGCAGAGAGGTTAGAAAGAGGGCTTGGGGTCACACCAAGCAGGGCTCAGGGGTCCAATCCTCATGGGATTACCTGCTGAGACATCAGTGGCAGCACGAGTAGGGACAGCCCGTGAGGCACACACAGAAGGATCCTTTGGTCTGGGCTTAGACTCCTCCCTCCT